CATGGTAACTCATCAGTGATACATCACTTATAAATATCAACTCTCTCATATTACGTAATATTCATCGGCAATACAAATAGAAAATTCGCGAAGTCATGGCGTCTCATTATATTCATATAATAAATCTGTATTTTTACATATACATATATTACTCTGCAGTAAATAAACGAAGAAAACAATAACTGAATTAGTCTCAGACATAATTAATTTTTTCCTTACTTCGTTTCATCTTTCGGAAAATGATGATATACAGCCGTACACATCACAATTCACGACCATTATAAATAGTAACGTAAAATGACGTTTTATATCAACTCACAAGTTTCGTAATGAATAAATGAAAACTAAATTCAAATATCAAAGCCGTCTTCGCGCGAAAACGGCTCGCCGGCAGCCTTGTTGTCGGGGGTGCGTTTAAGACCGCAGGCTAAAAATTCGCTAGCTAAAAATTAATCTGCCGAGGCATCCGTGAACGGAGTCTTAGGTTTATGTCAATGTAAGCTGCCAAATTCAAATGACAGCTGTCATAAGTACCTAATTCAAACTTTATTTGAACTCACAACGGGCTTTAAATATTGTTTTTATCGTAATTTCGTCTACAACAATTTGCATTACGATTTCATCCATAATCCAAACGTCGTTAAAAGTACTCGTTTATTTAAACACAGAGCCAAAATATTCAATAAGCGTGCGCGAAACTAGCAGAAACAACAAACAGCTGTCAATAGTGTCAATCTGACAGCAGGTTAAAATTTCGCGACCTAAAAAGCACGCGAAAATTTATCCCAACTAGGCTAAATTTTATCCTAGCCGACGTCCGTGAACGGGGTAGATAAAATTTTCACAGATTAAATTTTCGCCTGACAGAGTGCTTAAACGGGGTGTATAACGTTATGTCAGGTTAAAATTTATCCCGGCTACCGTCCTTAAACGCACCCATGTGACCGGCAATGTGCGGGGCGTGGTGCGATATCCAAAACTAGGGAGGGGCGGAGAGTGTCCGTTCTCTTACTCTTTATTCTCTGCCTAAATTAAGTAAATGTGTACATGTATTTTAACTAAACTCCTTGTAATTCCGTTAGTGGAATCTCCTGTATCAGTAAAGATTTTGTTTACTGCTACTAAAAAAAATAACAAGAAAACCAACCTGCATAAAAACAATTAATCTACCTAGTAGCTTATCCTGGAATATAATCAAAGGTAAGAACGACTGTTTGTGGATAGTTTGTAAATTATTTCAGCGCGCCGTAGCCCCCGGTCCTTTAGGTAATGCCACGATGACGCGAATGGCCGCAATGAATATCAGCTTGATCATTGTGGAGGCCGATGCGGTTGCGGATATTTTAATTCATACGGATTATCTACGGATGCGATTATCCGCGAATGTGGATTATCAGCAGACGCGGATTATCCGCGGATGTTGATACTTGCAATAACCCTAGTACTAGTAATAGTAATGGGTTTTTTTGTGACTTTAGCTGTCTTGTACGAAAATATTTCTTTTATTTTTAGTTTGTAATTCCTACAAAAAAATTTTGTTACACACGATAAAGAACAAATTGTTCAAAGCGTACTAATGTAACATATGACATTCAATAAACCAACATCTATTAAACGGTATGACCTTGATCTTCCATTGCCAAAAACCACCGACCGTTTTATGGGGCGAATGGCTAACGACTATAATAACTTGGAAAGGAACTAAACAGGTGATGCAATACTTACAGCAGCTCTAGCAGCAAGTGCGGCGCTGCCTGGTGGTAATTGATAGCACTTGCGATCACCCTCCATTGGAGAGCTCTTCATGGTGTCGCGGAACGGTCCGTACAGTGATGACGCGAATTTACACGAGTAGGACAGTACCGACACCTGAAACGGAGTAAGCGAACATATTTTATCCCCAAAATGTTTTCTTGCGAAAACCCGTACCGGATTTCTCCCCTAGTGGATGTGCTATATAAAGCTTTTTGTGGACTTAAACGTTACGAGAGCTGGAAATGGGCAAATAATTCCAAATAGACGTACTGTGTACAATATTTCAATTGTTTAGCACCTTACAAAGGCTACCTACTCATCTTTCTTTAAGATACCAAGAGACGGGATGAACAAGTCGTGCGCCTGGTGATAAGCGACACACCTATCCACAACAGTTGCAGTGCCACTCAGAGTTTTAATTAGCAAAAATCTGAGGGGCACTGCCACTGCGCCCGTCACCCTGAGATATAACTTGACCAGTCCCATTTGAGTGTAATTTTACCAGCACTTTTAACCCTTCAAAACCGGAACGCAATAACGCCACAGTTACTTAATTGTTACTACATAACAGATACCTCACTCTCATACAAAATCGAAAATATTTACGCTATAATAACCTACTAAATCTGACTAATGAAACCAGGCGCTCACTACGAAGAAAAAGGAACCTAAGCACGCGCTCAGAGAAGTGAAAATAACGTTGCCAGCCGTGTGCAGTCTGGGGTTGTACAAGGATTGTAATGTAGATGAAAGACTTGTCTGAGCGCTTGCACTGTCGGCGATACACACAGCCGTATGAACCATATTTGTGTTGCAAAAACGAGTGATTCGTTCTGTGTACCGTTTAGGTTCTCGGATTTCTGTCAGAGAAAAGTTTAAGGAGACTGGTATCATGACTATGGCATCACAGTCCATTTACTCAAATATTTTGTATTCCCGTAAAAAATATACATAATTTCGTTAAGAAAGAAGATATCCGTAATATTAACCTTCGAACTAAGTCCAAACTCATGGTACCACGATTTCGTTTAACCAAGGTAAACGATTATTTTATGGGGAACTGTATGCGTTTTTACAATAAGAATCCGGAGCATACATTAAGATTGCCATTTCCTAAATTTAAAACTTACATTAAAAGTATTTTAATTGAAAAGTCATGTTACAAAATTGTAGTGTTAGATAAAGATGTATAGAAAGACAACGTGAGTCTAGATTCCACACAAATATGGTTCAAAATGTATTTATTCTATAGTATTTAAGTTTATATGAAAAGAGCAATCCTTGGAGTTTCTTGCTTGTTCTTCTCAGGGAGGTCAGCGCAGTGAACGAGCAGTAGCTTAAAAAATTACGTTTTCAAGTGTAAAAATTTTACCTATTAAATATATCATTATTTGACTTTGACTTAAACTTATCGCGTAACTTCGAGCGAGTGACGGAGCCCTGATAAAGCTCACATTACCGTTTAGCGATAAAAATATATATGGTGACAGTACTTCTCTGGGCGACCTCTTTCACAAGGAGCTCTATGGCTACAGAAGTACAGAAAAACCATCTCTCCTTAAGAGTACGTATTGTGCATTGTGCACGAATAGCCATACGCGTCCTGCCCAGATGCATTAAGTTTTTATTGTGCATTCTCCTCTACATCCCAGACCTTAGTTAGTCTTCGGATTTCGGAACTTGGTCCATAAGTTAGATAGTACTTGATGTACTGCTTTATCTCAAGATAACGTACTGTAGTCTAGGCTCTACTCTATGAGTAGAATCACTGGCTGAGTGAATATAGTTTTGTAATTAGAATGTGTTTTGAAAAATGAAATAAGAAAGAATGAACATCTTGAGAGTTCGAGATGTAACCTCAATAAGAAAATATGTGAAAGAATACAATAAACCAAGTTTTGAAGATTATCCCAGTTTATATATTTATAAAAGTACCTCTCGCTACGCATCTTAAGCTACGCCCCAGCTAACAGTACTATTCTTACCTGATTTTGTAATTTATGCCCAACTAAAGCATCTTTAATAGCTTTTATTCTATTGTCCATCATGTCAGATGGAGCTACTATATGAGCACCTGAAAGAAATATTGGTGATGAAAAAAATATTATCATAAATTTAATTAATGGAAACTTAAAAGATAATATTCGTGTATATATAATGTGTTTACTTTTGAGAAATTTATAATTCATTCATAAATACTGAGGCACAAATACTAGGCACTACTTTGGTCCATCGTCATCATCAACATTATTATATCTCTGAATAGAGTATTTAAGCCACAGCTAGGCTAGTCAAGCAGTAATATGCAGACATAGGTTAGGTGGCAGTACTTCTCTGGACCATGGATCAGTAACTTAAGAGGACTGGTAATCTTTGAAAAAGGTCAAAATTCTGTCTTATATTCAGATGGCGCTGACCAATAGACTGGAGGTAGTATACATTATGTAAATGGCCGTGGATATTAATTCCTCTTTAATATGAAATCTAATAAGTCAGTTTTTTTCGTTATAATATTATTCAAATAATGATCATCAGCAATAATCGTGTCAATAGATGGCACTGTGTGTTACATACTAATTTATAAATAACGCTTCTTAATATGGATAGATGGCGCTAATCATAGACAAAATAGAAGAAACCATAAAAATGTGCAATAAGCGCCATCTAGTTGATTTGTTTGTTATCACTACAAATTAGAGTAGCTTTGAATAAATTGCAGCTTGTCAATGTAAAACAAATTACTTACAAAAACGGCTGTTTGCACGGATTTATATACTTCATAAACTGAATCACTCACGTCGATATACCAATATTTAAATTTACACCTTATCGTGTTACGTTAAGGTTTATTTTCAGTAAAAAACCGAACCACGTGAGATAGCTCAAAGTAGTGGTCTGTCCTTGTGTAACAAGTTGCCAACGCTAAATAAAATCTTAAGTAGTGTCTAGCCTATTAACTTTTTAACTTTGGATACATATATTTGCTTAGAGGTAATATGCTTTTACTGTAATGATAAAAAAATATCAACAATGAGACCTTCTGTCATGAAGTAGCACTTTAAATAAGTATACAAATTTGCATTATGAAATAATATTAGTAGTTTTGGTCATCCATAAGTGGCCACATTTTCTATAAAAACTAAAAAGTTAAAAACAATATGGTTCGCTGAAAAATGAACGAACACCCCATTAGAAAGAGACGCATTACTACTTTGATGCCTCTCACTTGCCTCGTTTTTATTTATTTTATTTTATTTTATTTATTAGGTTCACCAACGTTGTGTACAATATTACTTATATTCTTAGTTTTATTAACTTAGTGCGCGGTCCGCTTTAATATACAAGTCGGTGACTGTTTGGCACTCGTCGCGACATCTGGTGTGCCAATAGGTACTAAATACCCGACTACGCTGTCTTGTATCGCGATTAGCAGTCCTTTAGAGTTATTGGTCCATGCCTGGATGAACTCTTTCACAAGGAGCTCTACGGCTACAAAACGTCCTCCCTAGATGTGCAGCTTTCACCATATTTTTCTTCACCATTAACATAAAACTGAAAGTTATAGATACATGCCACCAAGGATATGAACTTTTGGTTTGATTACAAACAATAAATAAAAAATTAAAGTTAGTTTACAAGACCACAAGTTAGTAGAAATATAAAAAATACAGGTACCTTCTTTCATTTAAGTGAAAACGTACAATAGGCAGCCAAAGTTACCTGCTTGAGCATAAGCCAAAGCAACTGCAGCAATTCTTTTGACAGATGCTGCGTGGTCTATCGCGCCACTCTCTAAGAGCAGCCCGCAATGCCCATGAGAGGTGTAAGGGCAAAGGCACACGTCACATGCTAAAAGCAGTTGCGGGAACGCAGCCCTTAGTTTCGGCAGAGCCTTCAGTACTGGGTTCCCCGGTGAGTCTGCATTAGAGCCAGTTGAGTCCTGGTATTCAAAATTACTTAAATTTATTATTTGCAAACATAACAGAGTATCAATTGTGTAACACACAAACTAGATACCAGCCCAGTGACTGTGTGAGAATTTTCCTGTGTATGTGAAATAAATTATCGTGTTCTATGAGTTATTATCATCACTGTTAGCTTAATACTAACTGCTGGAGCATAGACCACTCACTCAAGAGGTCTTGCATTTTTTCGTGTCATGGCCTAAAACTTAACAGACTTCATGTCACTATTTGCTGCTAATAAATACATAAATGTGCAGGTGTTTGGTGCTAATGTCTTGCATCCATCTAACCTATGCCCAGACAACTTCCAGTGGCCAACCTCCTAGCATTTATTAACACCATGTCTTAAAATATGAGCAATTGGCTTTGTTATAATATTTTGTGTATAACTTTTAAGCCCAGATGTATACAACAATCCACATTGAAAGGTATTACAAGGCCGACATTAACGCCCAAATGTTAAGGCCTTACTAAAAACTTGAAATAAAATTTACAAAAATACTGATATTAGATAAAGGTATTAAAAATGTTTTCACCTTTGCTAAAGTCTCAATGATGCCAAAGATAAGTATTGATTTGAGTCCTTTGTCCATCAACTCAGTGAGGGCTGGAATGAGTTGGTTGACACCATATCTGTATACATTTGGCATGCTCGGCACAGGCTGTATCGCATCATCATTTTCTCTACAATCAAAGTAATATTAGACATATTTAGACAAGATAAAAAGAGTACAAATACATTAACAACCCAATACTATGATTTGGATCAGGGTTGTCACGAATGTCAGCATGGATAATCAGCATAATTAAAATAATATCCGCATCTGCATCAGCACATGCATTCATCGATGCTGATATTTATTGCTGATGTTTGAGTCATAACTTGGCCTAAAAGGTACGCTGGAAAACTTACAAACCTTTCACAAACAGACAGTAAGCCGAAAAAGCAGCTCAGCCGTTTTTTTAAACTGTAAAATTCCAGAACAATTAAACTAGGCAGATTTATTTGTTTGTTAATAAATGTCACAAAATCACTGAAATTTTATTACAATACTAAAGAAAATAGAAAGTCTTTTCATGTAGATGGATTCAATAAGCATGTACTTTTTTGGCGTTTTTTTTTAATAGATAAAATCAGCATCCGCATTGGTATCCGCTGATATATAAAAAACCTGCATCAGCAACAACCCCAGTCTGGATCAAGACTGTGTCTCATATTATTGTATACAACAAATTTGAAGCCAACCCAGTCCCAAAAAAGTTTTCTTTGCCAGCATTGTTTGTAGGTTTTTCAATGAAAATCTTATGTTAATTATATTGGCTTGGTGTACGGTGTATACTCAATTAAAATAGACTTAACCATCGTCAAAGTCAAAGTCAAATGATTTATTCACCAAGACAACACAGTACATTGCATATAGGTAAGTCAAACTACAGAAAACACAGAGTTAAATTATACAGGTATACACACTAGTAAAGTCTTATTATGATTTTTTAAGAAAATGAATATTCACTTAGATTTGAATCCATAAATTCGTTGATTTTATAAAAAGCATGATTTTTAAAGTAAAGTTTTAATGTTTGCGTGAACGTAGCCATTTCCAAGTCAGATACACTAACTGGTAGTTTATTGTACATCGTTAAAATGTTAAGCTTTGACTAATCTGGTTTTATTTGTTGCTATTTATGTTTACTTCTCGTGTTATGTGTATGTATGTCTGATATCTTCGTCATATCATTTTTTGTTTCGTGTATCTCTAATAATGATCTGTATATACACAATGAAATTACAGCCATTATTCTATATTTAACAAAGTACTCTTTAGCAAATACACATTTGTACGTGTAAAAAAAAAACACGTCGTAATACCTGCGATAATTCGTATTGGTCGCTTTTGCAAGACCAACACTCTCTCAATATCAGAAGAATTTCCTCAGACCAATAATTGATTGAATATAAGCATAGTATACACCTAAACTACGTTCTTTATTCACTACTGGTTTAAGTTTAAGTAAGGCACAATTTGCCACTGAGAGTTGTTTACATATCTTGTCAATGTGAAGAGAATGAGTCAATGTGTCCTGAATAACATATCCTAAAAATGTGGTAAATCTAGTGTCATGTTCTTTTTTTCTGACTTTGTTTTGTATTCTATGGTAACGGTTTTTTTCTTATTAAGGACTATGCCGTTTGTGGTAAACCATGTACTAAGACTATCCATAACAAAAGTTTGTTTTTCGAGAATTTGAATTTTATTTCTAGCTGATATTCCTACATGAGTATCATCTGTGAATAGATTATCATTTGACCATGATGGTAATGCGTGTGGCAAGTCGTTAATATAGATGAGGAATAACAAAGGTCCTAATATTGATCCTCGCGGAACTCCGATGTCAATTTTTCTAACATCAGAAAATATGCCTTCCACCATTATAGACTTAGTTCTATTTGAAAGATGAAGGATTTTGAGAAAGAAGGACTTCATTAAACTTAGTTCCTTATTCTTAAAGCCATAGTATTCTAGTTTTTATAAGAATATTATGTCATAGGCAGTCGAAAGCCTTCGACAAATCACAAAAAATACTACTACACTTTTGGGCTCTATCTAAGGATTCTAGTATAAAGTGTACTTTTCTTATCGCAATTTCTGTGGACCTTCCTGTACTAAAGCCATATTGGCAGTCTACGAACAATTTATTAACCTCTAAAAATGATGTTATTTTTCTTTTCAATATCGATTCGAAAATTTTTGATACAATAGGCAGTACACATACCGGTCTGTAATTAACATCGTCTTTCTCGTCTTTTTTATGTAATGGTATTATAAGACCTACTTTCAACACATCAGGAAAGATTCCTACCGTAAGGCATTCATTAAATATAAATAGTAACATGTTTAGTAAATTATCATTTAGCAAAATCAGGCATTTAAACACCCTAGTGTCCATATTATATATGTCTTTAGATTGTTTGTTTTTTAAGTTGTTTATAGTCAGAGTAAGTTCCTTCGTTGTAATATAGTAAAATTGGATTGATTAACTAGAAGAAGCCGACTATGGGTAGCTGCTACAGACCCTTGGCTAAAAGAACCCAAGCAGAAAGATGTTAATGCATCAACTTTGGGCAATACAAATCATATTATAGTAATTATATAATGTATCAAGAAATCAATTAAGATTATCAGTCTGGATTATAAGTATCAAGTACGTAGAAAATATAATTGATAGAGTCTTAATAAGAACATAATTATCAGATAATAAGGCCTTGAACCTTAAAAAGCTTTTGTAAGCACTTTTATGATATCTCCGGCAATGTTAAGAGATCATTAAAGTGGATCACCTTATTTGTGATAACAGATAACCAATGTGAAAATAAAACATATTTATTCAACGATTTTGGTAGTGATATGTGGGCTGTGAATTAGAAGGTTCCAGGTTTGATCAGCAGTAGAACCAATTTCAGAGCAAACTTTTCTAAATTGGTTCCTGTCTGGACATTCTGGGTAGAACTCAAGAGTTCACTGATACTCATAGTTATTTTCTATATCAAACTATTGAATCAGGTAATTGGTGTAGTTGTCTGCCACATAAGGTACTTATTTATAATTTAGGTAACAGGTATACACAACTCATATCTACTAGAATAAGATTCATTTTAAATTGATATCCGTATGGATAATCGCGTAAATATCATTAATTCAATATTGGTGTTTATCGGCATAGACTTAATGACGATTATTCCGCAAATACATAGGTTATAAAACATGTACATGTTATTAAGGTTTGCATAGGAAATAGGTACTTACAACAGAAAAACAGGATACATGATATTGTGCGGCTCAATGCTAGTGTTCGGCTCTTGGAGTTTTCGCAACGTTGAGTGGAAATATCCGCCCTGAAGTACATGTTCAGGGCTCAAATATAATTGACTCATTTTTACCGAGATTTAAAAAAAGTTGAAATACTGAAAGTAGAACTTCTGTCAACTATTAACTAGAGCAAAAACAAAGGCAATTGTGTAGTTTTTAAAATTATTATTCATTAATTAGCACTTTAAAACACGGTTGCAGAAGTACAGAAAGCAAAAGAGCTCAGTGATAAATTTGATAACAGCTGACATTGACAGTGACGGAACACAGACCATACCTCTATGGACCATGAACCACAGACATATATCTAGATAGACGCCGCAAGTGCAGCAATTTGTATGAAAAAAAAGCGTGCCACATTTTTTGTAAGAGCATATAGTTGTATGTACATACCTTGACAGAGGGGAATGTCTATCGATGACGCATCGAATCCTAAATGCTCTAACTAAGGTATCAAATGTGTATAATGTAACGTAAAAAAATAATTTAAAATCGCGTAAAAAGTATACGTCTATTATGATTCCGTTATTATTATTTCCTTAATTATGGCCACTAGGCTTGGGCCAGCGTCAGTCTTGAAGATATAGGTAATGGTTTGTGATTTTAATACAAATATGGTATCATTTCGTTCAGAAAAAATGGAAAGTCCATTTTTTTAATGTCAGTCAAGATAGTTGCGTTCAGTATTTTTGTTTTTATTGTCAATTTAAGCTGTCAATCTTTTGGACTAAAAAAATTGTTTATGGCACAGGTGCAAGGCACAAATTAGATAGTGCAAGGGTGCAAGTAGTTTGTGATTGTTGGCTTGTATTCTGGATTATTTTAATCAATTTTAATTTACATTAGTTGCCAATAACTTTTATACATATTGATGCAATAAAAAAAGTGAGACGCATAGTTTTATATTGGTATTAGTTCAGTACTAAACGATTTGGTGAAGATCTAAAGAGCGCAGAAACATTTGAAACGCTTGGTTGAAGTTTTCTTGTAACTACTGCTGCAGATACTGGTAAGCGTGTTCAAACCTTTTAGAGGGCCTTGATTGCACTATGGAAATAGAAGATACGGTGCCCGTCACGTCCAAGAAAAAACACGATAAAACCGATTCGTCGTCTGATGGCTCTCCTTCAAAACACGAGGGCAAGAAAACAGACAAAAAGTTCGATGCAGAGTCTGACCCTAAACCACGTATAGTTCTTACCTTTCGTTCAGAAAAACCTGGCGCCAAAAGCAGTGCAATGAAAATTGTGTCTACTGAAGAGAAACAGGAGGAGACATCTTTACGGCGTTCTAGCAGAACTAAAGCCAAACGTGATGAAGATTATGATACTGAATTTCAGTCACATCGAAAAGATAAGACCAGCCAACAGATGTCTGAAAATGACGATGTTTCAGACAGTTCTCACGCGTCTCCACCTAAAAGATCCACACGAAGGCGTAGCAAAGAATTTGATAATGTGATAGCTAATGCTATAGCAAGAAAAGAGAAATCTTATAATGAAACTCCAGCTCCTTCAAGACCTTCTCGCCGTATCAAACCAACTGCTAAAGTTCTTGCAAATGAAGAGTTAAGAATGGGGCTAGAATCTCAGAATAATGCTCGTCTTGGACGTGATGCAGATAAAAGCCCAGAAGAAGGTGTACGAACGAGACGATCCAACAGGTCAGGTAGACCTATTGACCATGATGAGCATGCAGTAACAGAGAAGAAAAATAGTAGATCAAAACCAATGGAGGTGGATGGTGAAGAAAATCAAAGCCAAGTGATGAAATTGAAGCATTTGTGTGAATTGGGCCTGAAGGCTATTGATTCTGAAGATAGAGATGACACCAAGGATGAAGAGTAAGTAGTACAATGTGTCACATTTGGAGTTTTCAAAAATTTACTTTGCATCACTATACATACATATATTGCACTGCTGTTGCAATAGTGTTGTAACTCAAAATATGTGAAATTCAAGTTTATGGCATTGCTAAATGTAAAATTGTATTTTCTACATGTCAATAAAGACCGTCATTAGTAACCAGTAAGCCCACTTAATTCAAAATGGGACAAACTTTATATGAGCTACAAAAGTCCTTACTCAAAAATATGAAATTAATTTTTCCATTTTATATTGAAATATATTTCACAAGTGGAAAATTGTTTAGTATATCTGTAATAAACATAAACCTTTATATTTTTATTAATTTCAATAATCTTTCACGAGAAGTGAGCAATTTGTTTTTCATTAATCAATGAAAAACAAATCAAACAAAAGTGAAAAAGATAATCATGAATAAATACACTTTTCCAGTTAATACACTACTGCACTGATAGCAGCCTATAACATATACAGTTTGACATGCTGCTGCATAAAAAAATATGCTGTTTATTTTGTCAGTTCTCATTTACATTACTAGGAAACATGGTAGCACGCAGCAATATCATTAATAGCCAAGCTTCGATTTCATTCTCAGAGTAGCAGACGAATCTATAGAACTAGAAGAAGAAGAGGATGAAGAAATTGACGATGATACTGAAGTGATCAGCAAACTCCTGGAAGCTGACGCAAAGAGTGTTGAAGAGACCAGTGAAGTTGATAGCTTTGATGACACAAGCGATGAGGATTATGAAACTGGACGACCAAGACGGTCAACAAGGTTGTGCACGTCTTATGCAATGAGTGATAATGATTGGTCATCGTCGGTGCCAGATGATGACATGCAAGTATCGTTTTGATACTGGGTGTTGTCTGTAAAAGTATAGAGGCTTTATGCATGTATGATAAAATTTTCTTTAATATCCTGCAACTTTTACGATGTCGGGATAGTTACTTTCTGTGCTATGAATCAGTAGTTATGCCAATTTACTTTTTTACTATTTAAAGTAGTTTTATAGACAATTTATTTTAATGGTCTATGCCTTGAATGTCACTGTGATCATGGTCTGTATTGCTTCTTTTTAGTTGCCATTACATATTTATCATTTTTACTCAAAAATGTAGCAAGTGGAGATGAATTCATATTTTATAAAATATTTCTTGTTTCTGTAGTGCCCCACGACGCCGCTCGTCCAGGAGACCTTTATCAAATTACGAAGAAACCGTACAGTAAGTCAGAGAGTGCTATTATTATCCTATCTTGACATGTCTGAGATATATGTGCACTTCCTATTGTCCTTATTGCCCTTTAGTAAGTTTACACACTCCTGGGCCAACATTTACATCAACCAAATGAAATTAAATCAAAGCTATGAACACCTTATAGTTTTTAAAGGTGTTGTTTTTTTCTCCGAGTTGCAATTACTGCTCATCAAAAAAGGTTGTTTGCTTGTCGCTGTGATGAATGGCAGCATAAACCCTAAATATACCACTTTAATAAAATATCAATAGAGATTATTTATCAATGAAGTTCATTACAGTCTCTTGGAATTTATTGATCAGGTATTCAAAAGACCAAGCTCATCACTTGGTACTTGAAGTGCTGTGCTATTTGTTAAGTATCTGGATGTATCTTTTCAAGCAATGTTCAAACCAATTATTTTCCACTGTTCTTTATGCATGAATAGTTTTATAATTCAATTGCTTGCCATAAATATTTTTCGTTAATTGACAGTGTCCCAGAGAACGCTGAAGATAACTTGGAGGCAGCGGTTCCCCCGGAAGAATCCACAATCATCGCCAAGTGCTTCTGCGAAACACCCAGTAACGTGCACGCGGCCGTGGATGAACTAACAGGTGGGGGAAGTTTGAGGTTATAAGTGCCGCTGTCACTAACTGTCCTTTTTTATGATACCAAATGTCGGGACGAACGAGTCGCGCGCCCGGTGGTAAGCGATACGCCTGTTCATAGCAGTTGCAGAGCTTTCAAATCGCAAATATCCGAGTGCCACTGCCATCGCACCCGTCACTCTGAGACATAAGTTGTCACGTCACACGTCTCATGTGCCTGTAATTTCACCAGCACCCTTACCCATCAAAACCGGAACAGGGTGATGGTTGCATTACTGCTTGGCGGCAGAATAGTTAAAGTGGTGTTCCCTGAACGAACACTGGCAAGGAATTTTACTGCTTCTAAAAGTCCTATTACTCAACTTTCAAAAGCGCACATTCTCCGCTAATCATCTTTTTTTTTTTTTATAGGAAATGAAACTATTTTTCCGGATTTAAATCGCGTATATTTGTTTTTTCAAACAAACCGACGTTTCGTGCCCTTTACAGGTCCCATGGTCACGGTTGTCAGTCAACGCGATTTAAATCCGGAAAAATAGTTTCATTTCCTATGTGTAACAATGGCGAAAACCTAAGAACTCGATTTTTTTTTAATTAAGTGACGGGACGAACAAGTCGTGCGCCTGATGACAAGTTACACGCCTATCCATAACAGTTGCAATGCCACTCAGAGCTTTAAATCGCAAAGATATGCGAGGCACTGCCACTGCGCCCGTCACCTGAGGTATAAGTTGACAAGTCCCAAGTGCCTGTAATTTCCCAGCAGCCCCAGCTCCCTTACCCTTCAAAACCGGAACACAGTAATGCTGACGTTACTGCTTGGCGATAGAAAAGATAAGGTGGCAGTACTACACAGGATGAACTCTCTCCCCTATTGTGTTCCAGTTTAGAAGGGTAAGGGTGCTGGTGAAATTACATATACATGGGACTTGTCAACTTATGTCTCAGGGTGACGGGCGCAGTGGCAGTGCCCCTTCGATCCTTGCGGTTTAAAGCTCTGAGTGGCACTCTTTCATAAGGAACTCTACTGCTACTAAAATTTCTGCAATTTATAGGTCTGAGTGGCAAAGCTATTCGTAGGTGTGTCGCTTACCATCTCGCGCACGACTTGTTTGTTCCGTTACATGGTATTATAAAAAAATCAAACAAAAAAAAATAATTTTGTTGGTGATCATATTTTTTTTTAATTTATTTACCAAAATACAGAAAAAATACTTATCTACTAATTACAAGCTCGCTCAGACTTTATCCGCGCTTTTTTATTCCGGCTTTATCCGCGGCGAGGAAGTTCAGTCTATTTAAGTAAAAATATAATATAATAGGGCAGACATCTTAAAAACTAACTTAATTACATCTAGACAAGTACAAAAACATGCTCACTTACATATGCATATAAATGCAACAATTAAGCAATCCACAAAATAAAGTTTATATCTTCAGTTTTCAAAACATTTTTCTTAGTGTATGATTGAGTGAACACAGCTTGTAAATAAGACGTAAAAATAGGGAAATGAATCCTTAGAAACATTAACTAAATCTACAAAAAAACAAAAAAATAAATGCAAGATACTACTAACGCGCAAATGATCGTTGATGCACTGATTACTTCTAGAACCAGTATTCTGCCAAGCAATCGAGCTAGTAGACGGTGTCCGCGTAGGCTGCTCTCACGCCGCTGCCAAAGAAGATGACGGCTCTTATTCCCCGCTGATCCGCGCCGGGCCACGCGCGCCATACTTCCTGGCCTGCGCGTTGCATTTTGCGCAGTTGAGGACGCACATGTGCTGCTCGGCATGTGGCCTGTTTTGTACGCAGGTAAATATTTGTGTAGGTGAGAGCCAAAGGACCTTAATTAAGTCCATATTTTGGAATGTAGATGTTTTTACAAACATTATTTTAGAATGCTAAAAATCGCGCAATGGTAAAAGACATTAAGTCGTCGTTTGTTGTTTATTGAACATGTTTTATTTGTCCGTAAGATAATTTAAATTTAAAATGCCTGTGATAAATTGTCCTTTCGCACCGTTAATAACAAAGTGTGATTGGTTACGTTATTACATTTAGATTTAGAAGTCGATTTTGGGAATTTCTCAAGATGTTTAAATTAATATTGTAATGATAAACGTATTTAAATGTTTAGTTACAAAGAGCAACCCCTACAGTTTCTTGTTCATTCTTCTCAGGGAAGTCTGCCTTACGAATAAGCAGTAAAGTTCAATCAGTATCACGTTTTCGAGTGTAATTTGCTCACCTATGAAATAAATATATATATAATAATCTGTTTATTTGATCTGGACTTTGGAGTTAATAAAAAAATACGTGACTTTAATGTAATTTGGCTAGTATCAGTTACGAATACATCCTACTTGAAGCGATTTGTTAATTTTATTCCTCACATTATTTCGATAGTACCCCAAAAATGACATTTTTAGAATTACGTCGCTTTATTATTGAGGGTGCGATTTATGCAATAACGGAATGCAAGCGAATTTTTGTAACGAAATTGTGCATACATACGATGAACTTTATGTCAATAATGTAATGCACAAACTACGATACGGTAGCGACGAGAATTCCCGAGACTGCGCGAGAATTTCCGAGACTGCGCGAGAATTTTCCAGAACTCCAGAGTATAGTTTTTACGTTACACGATAGGTTCCCAAATTTTTTGACTCACCGCTCGCTTAGGCAAGATAAAAAAATTTCAACGCCCGTAAAAAATAATTGGAAACACGTATTTTTTATATTAACTTAACACAAAAATTCAGATGAAAAAAAAATGTACGTAGTGTACTTTATACAGTGTGTTGATTTGCATTCGCGCCATATTTAAGAAATTAATAATAGAAATAATGCTAAAACATCTCAAAATATTTAAAAAATATTCTCTTCAATATTGTGGCTAATTGTGTCTAGTAAAGTTTTGTAAAATTGTCCCCCAAGTGTATTCACCTCAGAGGACAGTGACCCCGCCACTCGCTTCAGCGAGCGATACGTAATCTTTCTCGATCGCTTATTTACTTATTTTTTAAATCATGTTTATGTACTAGTATTGTTATAATTTACTAATTATTGACATTAGTTAGAAAAGTTGACTGAAAAAATATTTTTTGTAACTTAGATTTGGTACTTACCAATTTTAGATTACATGAAAGTAGTGCTAGAAGTACCTAGCTCCACAGCTGGTGGCAGACTCCAGCTCTCATGATAATGCAGGGTCTGGTGAACTGGTAGCGATTTTTTTTGCACTAACTCTTATTTACATACCAAACAACATGGCATTTCGTGAGAAACTAGAACGTATGCGCGTTGTTAGCGGAACGTAGACGCAATACGCAAGGTCGACTGATGATCTACCAATACCAATCACGCGCTCGCTACGATACTCCCCCCGTTCCTACTCGTACCCTACCACCAAATACACACATCAAAAGTGTCTAGGGATCAAGTACGTTTAAGAGTATTGCTGCAATTAGGGTTAATTATATTAACTTTTTTGTATCGCTATTGATACTTTTTAGTGAGTTTTAACATTTAAATAAGGAATATTGTTTAAAATTCGATAATAAGAAGAAAATCGATTGTCAATGTGGTTTTGTATAAAAATGAGTTATAGCGTTTTGACAAAATCATTACAATATCTGCATCGGAACCGAAACAATTTACATTATTATGGAGAGACGACATCATTTAACCCGAGAAGTGATGATGCGAGCCGTCGGAATGTTGGAAGCTGGTTCCAGGCAACGTGCTGTGGCTTTCACTCTTAACACTACACAGAGCGTCATAAGTCGCCTCTGGACGCGCTATCGCATGACGGGCAGCGTGGCCGAGCGACATGGAGGACGATCTCGCATCACGACTCGCAGACAGGACCGGTATATCCAAAATACTGCTCGACGGAATCGTACCATGACCGCCATGATGTTGGTTACGAGGCTCCACAGCTCCTCAGGCTTGCTAATAAGCGATCAAACAATTCGAAATCGTTTACGTGAAGTGGGTCTGCGATCCCGAAGGCCGCTCAGAGTTCCACCTATTGCACCCTGCAATCGCAGGACCCGTTTACGATGGGCTCGCGAACACAGAAACTGGGAGGAAGAAGACTGGCGCTATGTGTGCTTTTCGGATGAATCCCGCTTCGGTATGAGACCGGATACAAGACGTACTCGAGTTTGGAGAACATCTGGACGTCATGTACGTTTGAGATATTGTCATGAAGTTCATCCATATGGTGGGGGAACAATAATGATATGGGCCGGTATTTGGATCGGCGGAAGAACAGATCTCATTTGGATCAGGGGTAACCTCAATGCTCAAGTTTACGCAGAGAGGATTGTTTCAGATGTTATCATCCCTTTGCGAGGCCAGTTGGGTGATTCATTTCAACTAATGCATGACAACACACGTCCACACACGGCTAGAGTCGTAACACGCATTCTTGCCGAAGCTCGTATCAACGTTCTGCCGTGGCCTGCTCAATCACCAGACCTCAATCCAATTGAGCACGCATGGGATATGCTTCAAAGAAGAGCTGTGCCGAGTATGCATACATACTCTACAACAATATTTTGACTTGTTACAAAACACATGGGCGGCCATTCCTCAAAGTGATTTTGATGAACTCATCTTAAGCATGCCAAATCGCTGTAATTGTGTGATTCGTGTTAATGGTGGAAATACAGATTATTAATGTTCTTATCTTTACAATAAAAATGAGCAAAATCATCATTTTCGCCATTTTTTTGTCATTTAATTGACGCCGTTAATTGGAGTTTTTTCTTACAATTTGCAAAAACATCAAGTTTAGTTTATTTTAATTAAATATAGGGTTAAAAGGAAGCGGTTAAATAAAACATAAGCATTAAAGTAAGAAGTCGTCCTGGAAGACTGGATTTGGTAAATATTGCTTAAATAATTTTTATTTCAAAAATATTCACTTGATCCCTAGACACTTTTGATGTGTGTAGATCTAAAATGTATATTTATATATTTTCTGCGCATAGGTCATTGTTCAAATGGTTGCCGGTACTTGTGGCACATGTAGTGCAAGTCAAGTCAAGGCAATTAAGTTAGAATTTAGGCGTTTTTTCTATTTATATGGTTTTTTTTAGTGATTTGGGTTCGGTTTCGGATATAGAATGACGTCTGTAAATATGGCGAGAAATCAACACATTGTGTAGATAATTCAGAATTTTTTTCAAAAGCGGCACCCACTGGACAGTATCAGCGCCCCCTAATTGCTTTCGAGGCTCCTACCCTAGGACTCGTTAGCGCCCACTGGGGGGCGGTAGGGACCACTTTGGGAAACTATGTGTTACACCAAAGTTCATTATACTATGATTACGAAAATTAGCTTCCATACAAATAATAAATTACCCTATGTGGCCTTGCTAGGTAGAGTCTACTCCTCTGTGACGACTTCCATGGAGAGTCTGCAGTCCTCTTTGATGACCTTCCCTGTCGAGTAGCTTGCACTCATTGTGTTGCCATCTCTGATGTCCCGGGTTCGATCCCCAGACAGGTCAATGAAGAAAATAACTTTTCTATATTGTCTCGAGTATGGGTGTTTGTAGCACTGTCGTTGTTTCCGATTTCCACAACACAAGTGCTATAGTTACTTACTTTAAGACGCAGCAACATATGTGATGTTGTCTAACTCCATTTATGTTGAAATAGTATTGAATAAACTCTTGTTCCCGCAGGGAATTTTCTACCAGTGCTCCGAGAGTCACCTTTTCCACCTGGAGTGCGGCCTACCATACAACGACGCGAAGTTAAAGCCGGGATGCCCTCACTGCGGGATGCACTCGTACCGCTGGCAACCTGTCAACCGCAACTGCTCTAAAGTGCAGGTCCAGATGAAATGTAGCAACAAGAGGATCTTCTTGCCCGATCAGAGGGAACAATGGTTAGTAAACGAAAGAAACAATTGCCATCTATAGTGTTTTCTTTTATTTCTTATTTAATAAAATGAATGAAAGGTTTTCCACCTTGCTGTAGCAAAACTCCTTGGCGCTACGTCAATGTATTTCTAATAACGAGATATATAACTATAAGAGTTTTACGCCTGGGATATTCCCACGGCTGTAATGAGAAGATAAAAGGCACGAGGGTTTTATTTCGGCATTATAGTCAAGTTAGTCTGCATGTAAACATACTATTTACATGCAAGTGTGATGAAAAACATTCTATGTTGTACGGGCGGTACGATAATTACCAACCTCGACTCCGAAAGCCCGCAGTCTTCGACTTCGGTCTTCTAATAGAGTTGTTCGTAATTCCTTATTTACCGCCCTTAATACACAATATATTTATTAATTTCTTAAACTTTATTGACCACAAAACATAATGGTACAAAGCAGACGTACCTTTAAGAAAAACGAAATTCACGAACACGGCAAATCAAATAAAATATTACGTTAATAAGAACTTATATGTAATAAGTATATAATCATAATTATATTATACTATTAAGTTTTAAAATTGAATTTAAAACATGACGTAACTATTTTAAACAGTTGTGAAAAACTAAAACAAGCTCCCATGAATAATTTTTCGAAATGGCGCTTTCGACCTTTCTACGAAACATTGGTGATATGTATATATTTGAGAGTTATTCCACATTAATTTCAGCACTCCTGCTTATCTCGGGTTCGCAATCCTCGACCCCTCAAAGCTGGATCAGAGTCCCGTGATTCCTGCAGAGTTGCTTCCGTCCCCCCCGATCGACCTGAAACGCCTCTGTGAGAAGCCGATGGAAGAGGAAGACTTGCAGGACGCCGAGGATAGCACTCCCATTGAGAGGCTTTGCGACGCTATACTGGCCGGAGAGGGTGTTGAAAAACTTATACCTAAAATTAGTGAGTGCTTGCTATATTGTTCCGCTCTTCTTTCTCTCTTAAGAATAACACTGAACATATTGCACGAAAATGGCTGTAAGAAACCCTTATTAGATGACCTTGACAACCGATGTGGCCCAATGGCATGATTCCCGAATTCCCTAATTTGAGACCATATAATTGTTTTTTTTTCTTTGTAATACCAAGTCACGGGACGAACAAGTCGTGCGCCTGATGATAACCGACTGGTTTGTCCATAACAGTTGTAGTGCCGCTCAATGTTCTAAATCACAAA